GGCTGATTTTTTGATTTATTGTAGAGATGAGGTCTCGCTGCCCAGGCGGGTCTCGAACCCGCGGGCTCAGGCAATCCACTCACCTCAGCCTCCCAAAGGCGCGGGATTACAGGCTGAGCCACTGAGCCCGGCTAGAGCCTGTTATTTTCTATGGAGACTATTTTAGTTGAATGTAAAAGATTCTACCAGGCATGTTTTCTTCATAATAGCTTCCTGAAATGACTGCAGAATAACAACTGGGGTTTACTTTTGCCCGATTAAAAAAAAAAAAAAAAACCACAATGTGAATCTATTTGGTTTTATTCTCTTTGTTAAAACTTCATTTGGGATTTCTCTGCAAATCTGATATTATCAGTTCTTTAATTGCGCCATCTCTATGAACTGCTTATGACTCTAAATTGCAAGTTAAGCAAATAACAACAACAAAAGACAAAAATAAAGAGCGGGATGATAAGCAGGCTAACGTCATTCTTACCACACGCATAAAGAATTCTAAAGCTGCAAAAGACTTGAGAGATTAAGATTATTCAACTCCAGCCAGATGACAGAACTGAGCTCCAGCGGGGACAGTGGGCTTGCCAAAAGCCGTCCAGCCAGGTAAGGTCATAGCTAGAGTTAGAACAAGAGACACTGACTCTCTAGCGTTCTTTCCATTAAACCATAAGGTTTCTGTTCTAAAAATGTATGTTCCACCATGGAAGTGCTACTTTTCATACATATTCTTAGAAAAATTTGGCATTACTGTCATTCACCATTCTTAAATTAGTTATGTAATTTTGACATTTTAATTTAAGTACTGTATCTGCTGTTTCATGCTTTTCCACCATCATATGCACATAGCTGGAGGTCACGAGTTAATAGCTGAGCAACTGTTGTGTATGAGGGAGCATTTACTGAGCAACTGTTGTGTATGAGGGAGTACCAAGCACTTTTCCATACACCTCAAATGCTCACCACAATATTACAAAGGCAGTGGTATCACCATCTACACAGATGAAGCAACTTGGCAAGATCAGAAAGTTGGTAGGTAACAGAGCCCAGATGAAACTCACAAGACTGCCTGTTTCTAAAGCCTCTGGTCTGGACCTGGGCTTTAAGAGTTTCATCAGAAAAGTAAATTGTTTGGAGATGCTAATCTGCAATATATCCATTAGTCAACAGTTTAAAAAATTGCTTCACGGTCATTTAATTCACCATAATGCAGCCCATCAACTCATAATTCAACCAAGACTCGAATGAGTTCTTGCTATTTTTAAATCAAGCTTTTGAAATTCTCTTTTATTTTCTTGGTTCTGGAGCTTATTTAAAAGTCAAATATAAATTGTCAAGCCATGCAATTGGCAAACTGATGGTTACATAATATAAAGGTGTACTGAGAAATTAATCCACAGAATGGTGTAACGGCACCAAAGAGTGGAGATGGAAGATGATTATCTAACAAAAATCCTGGGAGTTTTAGTGGGTGGATGCCCTAAAATAAGCAAAGGGACTCATTCCTCATACTGCTCCTCTGTAAAGCTGTCACTGAAGTTTCATTTGGGTAGCCCATAATTCTGTGAGCCACAGAAGGCACTGAAACCCTGAAAATCAGTTAATGATCTAAGTAAATATTCTCCGAGGTTGGGTGTTTCATAGTTTATGCCTCTCACAGAAAGAAACAGTCATCCTGATCAATGGTGGATCTCAAATCTGAACGGTACCAGGTCTCTCCTCACATGATGTTTCCCATAAGCACAGGAGGCGCAGGGGATAACTCTGTTAAGTCTTCTCATCTCTGGTGAGTTCTCAGCACCACTCACAGAGATGTGGACATTCGTGTTGAGGAATGTATCACTGGAAACTAACCAGGACTGCTTTGAAAGACAATTGCTTGAGAAGCTCACTTGAACGTATATCGTACTGCAGAAGTGAAACACCCAAGCGGAAGCTTAAACTGAGTGAGGGGAGAGAATTAAGCCTGCAGACGTTAAAACTTTGCAGAACGTGAGACTGCAAATGACTCACTCCAGCCCTCAGAGGGTGGCTTTGCCGCCCCCAGCCATCTTAACGTCCCTGCTGCCATTTCCCAGTGGAATCGCCAGACCAACGCCACCGAAAGCACCCCCTTCCCCTTCTCCCTTGAGCTGCAGGGAGCACCCGCTGCCCGAGGAGCTCTGACTCTCCCAGCACAGACACGGACCGCGAAGCCTCTTCCAGGAGGAAGGCATCGCATGCTGGCTTGACGCCCCTTCTGGCAGGAGACAGCGCGCAGGATAAGTCCTCAAAAAGGAAGATGCCGGGGGCGTGCGACACGTAACCCAGCCGCAAGCTGTCTGCAGAACCACGATGGCCAGAAACCCCAAACCGCATTTCCCAAAGAGGGGACCAGCCGCGACGCGAGGAGGCAGGCGGGCAGCCGCGGGGAGGGGCGCCCTGGCCGGAGGCGCCGGCGGCCGCGCGCCCTGCCGGCTTCCCGCTCCCCGCCACCCGGAGCCCCCGCGGCCCGCCCCCGGCGGCCCGCGGCCCGCGGCCCGGACGCTGCCCGGACCCCCGCCACGGACTCCTCGCCCGCCTCGACTTACCGAGGGCGCCGGGGTCCCCGGCCGGCCCTGCCCCGGGGCCGGGGCGCCCAGGCACGCGGGGAGTGGCGCTCGCACGCGGAGCCGGCGGTGTACCACATTTTTTAATCCAGTCCTCTTTTGATGGACAGTATGGTTGGTTCCATGTTCTTGCTATTGTGAACAACGCTGCGATAAACATACGTGTGCAGGTATCTTTTTTATAGAGTGATTTGAGTCCTTCAGGGTATATTCCCAGTAGGGGGATTGCAGGGTCATATGGGAGGTTGATGTTTAGAGCTTTTAGGAATCGCCACATTGCTTTCTGCAGAGGTTGCACTAGTTTACACTCCCATCATCAGTGTAGAAGTGTTCCCTTTTCACCACACCCTCTCCAGCAGCTGTTATTTTTTGAGTTGTTGATAATTGCCATTCTGACTGGAGTTAGGTGGTATCTCAGTGTGGTTTTGATTTGCATCTCCCTGATGATTAATGAGGTTGACCATTTCTTCATGTGTTTGTTGGCTGCTCAAATGTCTTCTTTTGTGAAGTGTCTGTTCATATCTTTTGCCCATTTTATAATGGGGTTGATTGTTTTCTTCTTTTCAGTACGTTTCAGTTCCTTGTAGATCCAGGATGTTAGCCTTTGTCAAACCTAAAGTTGGCAAATACTTTTTCCCAGTCTGTAAGCTGTCTCCCTGCTCTCTTGATGGTTTCTTTGGCTTTGCA